CACAGCCTGGAAGACCCACACCAGCCATCGTATGCCGGCTGTGAAAGCCTTCGACAATACAACGTAAGTAACAGAATTGCTCTGACTGAAACTTTTCCCATACTCTATACATTTATATGCTTTTTCCCCTGTATGAGTTCTTTTATGTCTGGTAAGGGACACATTTTTCACAGAAATTCTTTCCATGCTCCATGCATTTATATGGTTTTTCTCCAGTGGGATCCTTTTATGCAAAGTTAGGGAACTGCTCTGTCTGAAGCTTTTTCCACACTCTAGGCATTTATATGGTTTTTCTCCTGCATGGATCCTTTTATGTAAAGTTAGGGAATTGCTTTGGCTGAATTTTTTCCACACCCCATACATTTACAGGTAGTACCGTTTGAGTTCTGTTCCCAGGGTCTGTCCTTAACTCAAATTTGTATGTAAGCTGGAACAGTATTATTGTATAATACTGTATAAGTAGTATTGTGTAATGAACCTGAACTATCGTGTATTTAACTCAAAGTTTGCTACAATAGGCTCCGTTCTTAACTATGGGTCATCTGTAACTGGGCATTCTTCACCTGGGGACTACCTATATATGGTTTCACCTCTGTGGACCCTTAAAGGGAAATAAAGGAATGAAATCTCTTTCCGCACTCCATACATATATATGGTTTCTCCCCTGAATGGATCCTTTTATGGATACGTAGAGGACTGCAATCACTAAAACTCTTTCCATACTCTGTAGGCTTGAGGGGGAGGCTTGAGCTGCTCCTCCTGGAGCTGCAACATCTAGCCAGTGGCGAAGAGTACCCCCGCCGGGTCCTTCTGGCCAAAGGCGCCTCCGCAGCTTGGCAATGAGGGGGGCGCCGTGTTGCAGATCGGGGTCGCATTCAGGAACTGGGAATTGTTAGCCCCTTAATTGGCCTCTTGGGATTCGCGAAGGAGGCAGGAGGGCTGGAAAATCCTCCTCCCACCCAATGCCATTCATCAAACACTGCTAAAGTTTAGGATTGGTGGCGATCTCTTCTCTTAGCCCCGAAGCCTCATCCTGCATTTGCCATGCAAGGACGCGCTCTGCATTGGAAGCTTCCCTCCTTGTTCACCCGGGTGATTTGCATGCTTAGCCTCCCTTCCACATAGGCAGAGCCCCTCCCCCAACCCTTGAATAGGAGGATGGTGCAACTGCAGATCTGTTCTCCTGTTAGTTGCAATGAGTACTAAGAAGAAAATCAGGCACAATAGTCGTGCTATGCGCAGCATTGCACACCCCAAAAGGGAGCTGCCTGAAGGTTATGGATGGGGGACCTTCCTAAAAAGAACAGAATGACATCCAAGCCCCACCTTGCAGGGGAAAGCCCTTCTCTTTCCATGGGGGGAGAGACCTTCTGCTTGGGGAAGCCTCTCTTTCCCTTGCTTGGGGGTCTGGGGCCTCCTGGGGGCAAGCTGAAGCTGTGGGAGAACCATTTCTGTCCCGGATACTTGGGGGGCAAGCAAGGACAACTTTGGAAGGGGGAGTTGGGCAGGGTCCCCACTTCCTCTGTCCTTTGAAAATTGTACCCTGAGCTCCCTTTGAATTGAGACCCTCCAGCTGGATCCATCACCCAATGTAAGCCTTGCGAAGGGGGTAAGAAGAAGGAGGGAGGGACTGAGGAAACCTTTCTTTGGGGGAAAGAGGGGGTCCAGTCTAAGAGTAGATTAGTAGAATGCTGATTTCCTAAATCTCAAATCTAGATTAGTATTTCTCAACCTCAGCAACTTTAAGATGTGTGAACCTCAACTCCCAGAATTCCCCAGCCAGCCTTCAAACCAACCATATTCAACAATCAGGTAGGATTAGAATTTGGTTGGTTTGGTTTATGGATGCATAAAACATATTTTCCATCAGTTTTGATTTCTATAAGGTCTCTTTAAGATCTATCTTTTACACACTCCCCCCTGCAAAGTTCCTCTGAAATTCAGAGTTTGGTAGGTACTGTCTTTATTAAGTCCAACAAAACGACAAATAATGCTTTTCCTAAGTGGGAAGTTCTTCAACTCTGCATTCTCAACACATGTTCATTGTGTGGGCAGATTCATGTAAATGATAAATACCGCTATGATTTCTCTCCTCCATAGGTTCCTTAAAAGGTCCCAAGACCTCTCTTACTCTAAAGCATTACCAGAAGATTTACTTTGTGAAAATGGACGGACAACCCCTGATATGGCTGGATTGTCATAATATGGAATCTTCTGGAATTCCCTGGAACATTCCATTTCCTAATTACTTCCCTATGTAGATTCTTTCAATGGGAAATACAGTTAGTGTTCATTTGATTTTTCACACACCATGCACAATATCCCTTTTTGTGATTTAGAGTAAGAGCAGTAAAATAATCCATATTTGCTGCATTTATGGGGTTTCTCTGTGGGTGAATCCATAACAAAGCAAGGCTACCCATGAGCTGTTATTTCCATACTCTATAGTTGTATATGGTTTCTTCCCCGTGTTGATATTTTTATGGGAAAGAGAGTGCATTCTTGTATGGACAATCTTTATAGATTCTCTCTTATATGAGTCATCAGAAAAAAGAAAGTGGAGGCTGAAACTGGAACTCATTCCCTATTACATGATTTCTCCTGGGTGAATCCTTTTATGGGAACTAAGGTGGCTGCTCTGGCTGAAGCTTTTTCCACACTCCATGCACTTATATGGTTTCTCCCCAGTGTGGATCCTTTTATGCGCCGAAAAGCTGCTGCTCCTACTGAAGCTCTTTCCACACTCTGTACATTCATATGGCTTCTCCCCCATGTGGATCCTTCTATGAGATGTAGGGCTACTGCATCGACTGAAGCTCTTTCCACACGCTATACATTTGTACGGTTTCTCCCCTGTATGAAGCCTTTTATGGGAAGTAAGGATACTGCATGTGCTGAAGCTGTTTCCACACTCACTACATTTATATGGTTTTTCCCCTGAATGAATCCTTTTATGAGTAATAAGATTATAGTTCTGAGTGAAGCTCTTTCCACACTCGATACATTTATATGGTTTTTCTCCCGTATGGAGCCTTTTGTGAATAGTAAGGTTATAGTTCTGATGGAAGGCCTTTCCACACTCCATGCATTTATAAGGTTTCTCTCCTGTGTGGAGCCTTTCATGGAAAATAAGGGCACTTCTCATTCTAAAAATCATTCCACACTCCATACATTTGAATGTTTTCGTAGCATGGATCCTTTTATGACAAATAAGTTGACTGCTCCGTTTAAAACTCTTTCCACACTCCCAGCGTTTATATGGTTTCTCCCCTGTATGGATCCTTTCATGTACAGTAAGATGACTGTTCCATCTGAAGCTCTTCCCACACTCAGCACATTTATATAGTTTCTCTCCTGCGTGGAGCCTTTTATGGAAAGTAAGGCTACTTTTCCTACTAAATCTCTTTCCATGCCCTATGAATTTCTTGGGTTTCTCTCCACGCTCTGTGTGGATTCGCTGACATAAAGTAAAAGCAAAGCTTTGGTTGAAATACATTCCATGCTTTTTACATTCACATTGGTTGTCTACAGTTTTAGTTCCACAATGATTACATATCTCTGATTTATCTCTGAATATTTCCCCATAGGGTATGGAATTCCCATTTCGGTTTCCTGTGTGATGCTGTTGAGTCAGGAATTCATGGACTTCAGTGCACTGGGAAGTAGATGATTTCTTCTCCATATACTTAGACTTTTTCCCCTCAAGTGTTTTTGATCTGCAGTGGTTCTCAAATGTCTCTTTTCCCACTTCAGCATTGGCTGGTTGTGATGTCACTGTATCTGGCTGCTGGCAACTCTCATTTTCCTGCTCATCTGCTGCTGGAGAGAGAAGGAACAGACTGAGTGGGGTAGCAAGGATTAATGCCCATTAGCTAATGAATTCATTCTAATGTGAATTGATCAATATCTTGCACAATTTTTCATTTCTGCTCTGTGTAATTTGTCAAAATGTTTTTTTTGCATTTTGATTACACAACTGTTTCAGATGTGATGTCTTTCCTGAACTGTTTCCCATTGAGGGCATCATTACTATTTTTTCCTCTAAAAATGAAGCTTAAAATGAAGGAACAAAAGAGAAGAAAAAGACTGATGAAATTGTGATATAGGTAGGCCACAGATGGAACTTATATCTAATCTTACATGTAAGATGTCACTTACAGTTCTATGGAGTTTTAATTTTAACTACCTGGAGCTGAGCAAACAGAGAATTGCTCTTTTCAGTTTTGGAGGGGCAAATTTTCCATGGGAACAGGCATTTGGAAAGGCAGTAATACGAAAATGAGCAGCTAAGTCTTATGGGAAGAGACAGAAGTATATGCATATGTTTATCCTTGAGAAGATGATTGAAGTTCATGTAACAATACAGGTAGTCCTCGCTTAACGACCCTAATTGGGACTAGCAACTCCATCGCTAAGTGAAGCGGTCATTAAGCAAAACATCACATGACTGTCCTGCTTAGCAACAGCAGTTCTGGCAGTTCCAGTTGCAGACGTTAAGTGAATCACCCACAATCGTTAAGCGAGACATCATGTGATTGTGACTTGTGACCTCCTGCCAGCTTCCCCATTGATTTTGCTTTGACTTTGCTTGTAGAAGCCAGCTGGGAAGGTCGCAAATGGCAATCACGTGACCAAGGGACACTACAACTGTCTTAAATGTGTGACAGTTGCCGAGCACCTGAATTGCGATTATGTAACTGCGGGGACACTGCGACCATCATAAGTGCAAGGACTGGGTTGTAAGTCACTTTTTTCAGCACTGTCATAACTTCAAATAGCCGCTAAATGAATGACAACTAAGTGAGGACTACCTGTATTTTCCAGATATCTGGAAGATGTCACAGAGAAGATAGTCAAGACCATTTCTCTATTCTCTGAGTGATGGGCAATGAATAATGGATTGGAATGTGGATTCCAATTGAATTCTAGGGAAAAAATCTATATAGTTCAAACAGTACAAGAATGGAACCAGTGATCCAGAGATAGTGGGCTTTCCTAACCCTGGATGTGTTCAGTTGGAGGCTGGATTGCCATCCCTTGGATACTTTTATGTGGATTCTGGCACTGAGCAGAAGATTGGGCTCAAGGACAGTTCCCATTCTAGGATTCCATCATACTGGATTTGTGAATTTTTATAAGGTTTGCCAGTTGTTTTTGTAAGGGATGTTGCAACTGCCTTGGAGGATCTCAGTTCAGGACCTCTTAGGGCTGGAGAAGACTTCACTGCTTTACAATTTCCTCTACCTAACTGCACTCAAAAGGAAAAAGTGGGCAACTGTTGTATCATGCAATGGCTACCAGCCAGCCTTCAGTTCAGAACAGCCCAAAGGCAGCCCCCTCCCTGCTGATGGAACACCCTTGTGTCCTTCCCTCTAGGAACTACTACCATGTAGTTAGTCCAACAGAGCTAGTTATGCAGGATACCTTCCCTTTCTTTGCACAAACCCAGGAGCGTTTGGTACTGAGATGTCAGAGATGAGACACTGCAGAAGCTGGTGTCATTATAATTTTAAGGGCTTGCCAAAGGGGACCTGAAGGCAGGTCTGAGACCACAGGTTTCATAATTATTCTTCATAATTATTCATTTAATAATAATAATTTTCCTTCATAGTAATTAATTTATTATGAAGTAACAGAAACTGAAAAATTAACTAAGGAGCCCTAAAATCTAAAACAAGAAATGGTCCCATTATTGACCTCAGGAAAGGTCTGCTATTTTCTTGCCTGACTTGCCTCTCCAGAAGAATGGATCGCCGTCTTCCACCCAGCAGGCAGGCTCTGGCTTAGTTATTTCTTGGAAGAAACAAATGGACTGGTTACTTCAAAAGCCCTTCCCAACTATCTGAACTCAGGAGCAAAGAGGGGCCCTTACCCAGAGAAGCCACGTTTCTAGAATTCTCCTGCATGACTTCCCCATGGAGGGCCTTCTGGGTGGAATCCAGCAGAGCCCACTCCTCCTCTGAGAAACACACCGCCACCTCCTGGAAGGACACGGCACCCTGAGGGAGGAAAAAAGACATTATTAGCAAATAACCTCAAGGTTTTTAAAGATCTCTGCCTTAATGATCAAACCCCAAAAGCAGACATTTCCACCCATCCATGTGCATCACACTTATTACTTTTCAAGATAAGCAATATTATGTAAGGAAGGAGTTGCCCACATTCCACCAAGGCAAAGGGTCCATTCAGTGGGCTGGCATGCATTGAGAATGTGCAGCCACTTACAGTGTATCCAACAGCGATTTTTTGGCAGGATTCTGAATTTTGTAAGAAGAAAGCAATTAAGAATACTCAGCAAGATGTCACTGTTTTTATGGATTCTCCTGCATCTTCAGTGAGGGAAAACCACAATATCCCATGGGTCACCTTCCCAAGAGAGATGGGGATCTCATTTGACATCTTATGAGGGAAAAGCCCAAGTTGGGTGATCCATTGATGGACTGATGGACCTTCACAATGCTCTACTTTGGATTTTGGACTTTCTCCTTCCCCAAAGGAAAAAGGGAATGGCAGCCCATTGTACTCAAGATCATGCAACTTGACATGCCCTCCTCTCCTAGAAGTACCAGGAGGGGAAACCATTCAAACAGATGGTTGTACCTCAATGGGCTCAGACACAGGGAAGCTATTCTATTCTTAGATGGTGGTCACCTCTAAACCCTTAATGGTGAAGTATCAGGTTACATCAGCCTTGCCAGAATTGGATCTGCCTGTCCAGTCTGGTCATTAAAAGAGGGCCTGTTGCCTGTTGTTACTCCTCGTGAAGTATATTGACTGTGGACCAGATGATAGGCCCCACCAGGAGTGTCCCCCCGCCCCCCCGGAAAATTCTCCCCTTGGAGGTATTGATGGGCCCAACTCTATTGGCATTTCACAAACAAATCAAAGGAATTTTCTGTGAGATTATACATGACCCTTAGACCTTATTAAGCAGGGGGCACATCTGAGGATGCTTATCTATATTTTAAGGATGCCATTATTTTATTTGCTTGTATTGTATTTTGTAGTTGGACTTTGAGCTTGTTGTGCCTGCAAGAGTCCTTCAGGACTGAGTCATGCTACAAAGTGTAAAACAAACAACAACAAAAAATAGTTCTGATAGAAGTTATCTCCGTACCCCATGCATTTATAAGGTTTTTCTCCTGTATACATCCTTATTTGGGGAAAAAGTTGCAGCTGTTCCTGAAGCTGCTTGCTAAGAAGGAAATAAAAAGATCAGAACACGTCCTCTCCAGCAGCCAACACCCAGATAAGCAGGGATTAACACTAGACAAACGGTCAAGCAGAAAACAATACCCTAATCAAGGAATTACCAAGGAGAAAACCACACCCTCCAACAACACTGGCAGGGCAAGCTATTGTATATAAACAAGGAGCAAACCCCACACTCACTCACACTGACGTTAGCTAGCCAGGAACAACCAAGCCCAAAGAGCACCAAGGACTTCACAGTTCAACTCTGAGTGACAGATATTCTCTTCTATTGGAACTCCTTACACACTCCATGAATTTATATGGTACTAGACAACCTGTGACCCACTGGGTCATCATTTCAGAAATATTTCCCTACCTAAACAGAGAAACAGAATGACCAAGGGCAAAAAAAGCAGAGGGAGTGTGAGAGACTTACGACTGGCTGCCGGCTTCCCCATTGACTTTGCTTGTGGGAAGTTGGCAGGGAGAGTCAGAAATCCTCCCTCCCTCCCTCCCTCCCTC